TGGAAGCTTTTCGGAGCTTATGTAGAAGGTCAAATGAATGTCAAATCTGACGAGCTTATAGTCGAATTGAGCGTCTCGATAAGTCGAATCCAACGAGCCCAAGATCGCTCAATTCTGACATCGCTAAGGCCCTCAAATATACATCAAACATCGTCTGATCAAAGGAAACTCTTCAGACCGTCCGATCAAAGTGATTCATATTCTTAAGTTAATTGCACCAAGAACTCCATAAATAGAGCCTTTCGTGAGGGGGAGGAGAGCTTCAGCTTTGAGGAATTGCTTGAAGCTTCAAAAAGGAGCTAAAGTGTAACACCACCACCATCGAGTGTCATTGATCACCGTCAACCACTGTCGACCACCGTCAATAATCCTTGACCACCACTGACCTCCGTCGACCACTGTCGACTATCGTCGATCAGCGCTAACTATTGTCAACCACCGCAAAATGTCGTTGATCATTGCTAATTTTCGTTGACCACCGTCGAACGCAATCAATCACTGCCAACCACCGTTGACCACCACCGACCAGACACTCCTAATCGCTATTGGTCATTGCTCATTCATGCCAATAAATTCATCAGCACGTTCATGTTTTAACTTGGGAAATCTAGTAACAATTTTCCTCCTATAGGCAAATAGTTGCAATTGTAGTCATCTTTCTATAGTGAAATTCTTTAGCTGGTCCAGACCCTGTGGTTTTTTCCTGTCCGATTTTTCCTCGTAAAAACTTATAGCATTTTTACTAGTTGTATTCTTTTTTTTTTAGTGTGTGTTGAATTCTTGTGTATTGCTAAGACGATAATCCATTACCCTACCTCCACGAATTTTCTAGAACACATCAATTTTGTTTCGTTTGTGGGAAATAGAGCATTCTCATCACTAAAATACTTGTAGGAATTGTTGCATGGCCACCAGGTGTAGCACTTGCAACAACAGAGCATCTCGCTTCAGCACCCATCATTCTTGAAGATAGTCATGGAGCCAAGGTCATCAAGCCTCTGCATCCTACTACTCAAGAAGGCATTACCCCGCTGATAAAGGTGCATTGGGTCATTCTTCGGAAGATTGAGTACATAAGATGGAGGAATCTTAACATGATATTCATCTTCTTCTACGTGGGGAGCGAAAACTGCAACCCAATGGAACTTACTTACCACAGTTTAGCATTCAATAGGAAATACCCCACTCACCGATTCTGTTCTAATGATGAAATCATTCTTCTTCCAAGACGAGACTCCAATCTTCTCAAAATTACAAGTCCCACTCATCCATCTCATATAGCTCACATGAAACCACCTTGCCTTATTGTCGCTTCTACTGATATCATCCGAGATGCGCTATGGTGCCTAGTTCGAGAAGAGTTCCCTCTAGATAAAAAAGAATCACTTCTTTGCTCGCCATAACTTCTAAGAATCCTCTATTTTGGCTGACGTGGTTCTCTGACACTCTATCCTAGCGGGTTTCAAACTACCAAACGTTGATGCCAATGAAGGGGCAACTGACTCATATGAGCACGTTGACCACTATCGAACCATCATGCAAATTCACCATGCTTTTGATGCACTTCTCTCTCAAGTGTTCCTGGTGACTCTCAAGGATCAAGCTCGCACATAGTTCTACTCTCTCCCCGGGGGCACCATCAACACCTTTAATGACCTTATCAGATGATTTGTAGAGCAATTCACAACAAATTTAGGGATTATCAAATATTCATCTCACTTATTGGGAGTTCGCCAAAATGAGGGGGAATACCTCAAGGAATACTTTTGCAGGCTTTCCACTGAAGCCCATCAAATGTCTGGAGTGGATTTGGAGCTACTGAGAGGATTCTTTATTAGAGAGCTCCGCCCAAGACCTTTTTATTCAATAAAAATATGTTTTTAATCACAAAGAAAAAAGTTTAGACAATAGGGAAATCATGAGCCAGGATCAGAAAATGAATACAAACCACTCAACAAGTCACATTTCAACATCCTAATGGACATCAAGGATGAAGAGGTTGTCAAGTGGTCAAGGCAATTAAGAAATTCAAAAGGTAGAGCCAAGTCTCAATATTGTCATTTTTACCGTGCAAAGAACATTCAATAAAAAGATGTTTTCAATTAAATAAAGAAATTAAACATATGATACGCCAAGGTGATCTGGGTGGTTAGTTACAAGAACAATGTGAGGGGAACAATAAGAGAATCGTCAGAGTTATCAAATGAGAAGTACAACTCTAAATTATCTTATTTGAGTAAAATACTAGCTTATAACAAATTTTTTATGTTGTTTTAAGCAGTCATTTTTGTGAAATTTTATTATTTTCTCATGAAATTTTTTTGTATAGGAAGTCCCCTAGAGGGCAATCGATAGACAAGGTCTCTATCCATGCCCATGAAAGTTGAGTCCAAGAAGCAGAACTTGACTGGAAGATGCGGAACCCCTAGAAGTGGAGTCCAAGAGAAAAGACTTAATGAAAAGCTACCATACCCCTAAAAGTTGAGCTTAATATGTTAGAACTAAAAAAATCACATTCAATTTTGAGAGAAATAAGCCATAGATTAACGGAAGCGTATCGGAATCCATTAGATCGATTGCACAAGATGTGATCTTCCAATCTGCAGATTTTCCAGATTTGCCATAGTTTCTTGTTGATGGGGTGCAAAAAAAGGGATGCATCTCTCTTCAAATTAGGGACCATCACCCTTTGAAATAAATACCAGGCGGTTACAAAAAAGTTTTGCTTAATTCTAATTCTGCCCCTCATCAAAGTAGAATTTACACTTATGGTATCCACACTATAATATCATGACAAATGTGCCCAAAGTCATAAACTTAATTCTAAATTAGACCACAATAATTTTGACTTATTTAATGATGACCCAACACATTTATTAATTACATTGTAGTCCCAAAATTAATCCAACAATCTCCCCTTGGACTACATATGTATAAGATAAATGTGTCAACCTTAGTGCGCCCAAAATTTTGTCATCATCATTATGAAGACACATTACAATCTCGTCCATTAATTATATCAATACAGGATCAAAGCAGTCTTCGTTGTATCCGTCACAACTAAACCCATCAATGGTCACATATATCAATATAATCAAATGACATAGATCAATCATGAATGTGTGGAATGAAAATTACATGCAAGGTGGTCTGTCCATGTCAATTTTCAACTGGTCCTACTTTACTTAAGTGAGATCGAACCTTAACTGTACAGAGTGCACTGAACTGAATAAAATACCTCATTTCTGATCAGAAAATATCCAAATATATCTTGTACACAAAATAAAACATAAAACTATAAAACACAAGTTAACAAACTCCCACTGAATCTAAATTCCCTCAAGCTCTATAACACCCATATGAGCAGTATGCTCATGAAAGACCCTGGGTATCAGAGCCTTTGTAAGGGGGTCCGCAATCATGGAGTTTGTTCCTAAATGCTCTATGTGAATCTGGCCACTCTGTACTCTTTCCTTCACAACAAGAAATTTGATGTCAATATGCTTTGACTTGGTTGAGCTCCTGTTGTGATTGGAATACAATACAGCTGATTTATTGTCACAAAACAACTTGAGTGGTCTTTCAATTCCTTCCATAATGCGCAGCCCAGTGACAAAATTTCTCAGCCATATACCATGGCTGGATGCCTCATAACATGCTATGTACTCTGCTGTCATGGTGGATGAAGCTATGAGTGTTTGTTTTGAACTCCTCCAGGATATAGCTCCACCACCTAACAGAAAAATGTAGCCTGATGTGGATCTTCTGATGTCTTGGCATCCAACAAAATCGGAGTCAGAATACCCAATGATCTCCAAATAGTCTGATCTCCTATAAGTAAGCATGTAATCTTTTGTTCTTCTTAAGTATCTCATAACCCTTTTGGCTGCTTTCCAATGATCCATTCCTGGATTGCTTAAGTATCTGCCTAAAACTCCAACAATGTACGCAATATCTGGCCGTGTACAAACTTGAGCATACATTAGACTCCCTACAGCTGAAGAATAGGGAATCTTTTGCATTTCTTGAATCTCAAGGTTGCCTTTTGGGCATTGATTGAGACTGAACTTGTCTTCTTTAGCGACAGGGGTATCAATTGGTCTACAATTCTGCATGCCAAATCTTTTAAGCACTTTATCAATATAGCTTCTTTGTGACAATCCAAGAATACACTGAGAACGATCTCGGTGAATCTGAATTCCTAAAACAAATGAGGCATCACCAAGATCTTTCATCTCGAAATTAATTGATAGAAATCTCTTGGTTTCGTGCAACATGCCTATATCATTTGTGGCAAGCAGTATGTCGTCCACATACAAAATCAGAAAAATATGCTTTCTCCCACTAAATTTATGATACACACAATCATCAACTGCATTCATTTCAAAACCAAACGATAGAATCACTTGATGAAATTTGTGATACCATTGACGGGAAGCTTGTTTGAGCCCATAAATAGATTTTGTCAGTTTGTAAACCATATTCTTTGGGTCTCCTGACCCAGTTTTCTGGTTGCACCATATAGATCGTTTCATCAATGTCTCCATTGAGAAATGCGGTCTTAACATCCATTTGATGAAGCTCCATATCATAATGAGCAACAAGTGCCATGATTGTTCTAAAAGAG